TTTTTTTTTTTTTTTTTTTTTTCCTTTTTTTTTTTTTTTTTTTAATATATACGTTAATGAAAATTTTCCTCCCGTTATGTTCGTTTTTTTTCGAATTCTTCGCTACGCGTTCTATCTCTCATTTTTTCTCGCGCTTCTTGATATACTACTATATGTTCTAAGTAGTCGATCACCTGAAACGCAAGCATCCGGCCAAAGAGAATATCCTGTGCTACATAGCGTTCTAATAACTCGCTTATCCCCGCGCGATACGAGAGTTCTCCTCTCTGAAGCGGATTAAAAGCAAACGCAACGAATGGATAAGTATAGCTTGAATGATCAAGTCGTGCAACGAAAAGCATCACGTGACGAGCTATTATTTGCCACAGCTTCGAAACAGAAAATTCCGCAGGAATTTTACGAACTGAATTCTTACCAATCGAAATTATCGAAGTACTTTGCGCGGATTAAAAAAAATACTTTTGGAAGAACAATTTTTTTTAACGCCACAACTAACTTTGTCAGAAGTTTCATAACTGATCAAGTTATGTAGCTAAAAATCTAAAAGTTATGAATATCTTAAATAGAAATGTGTAATTTTGAATTAAAACTATTGAAATTAATCAATGTATCAAAAACCCCTCAAGTCACTCTCATATGTCATTTTACATGTTTTCATGAATCATTGTTTGGTGATTCAAAAATTTTAGTTTCTAATTTTTTTTTTATTTTATTTTTTATTTATTTATTATTTTTTTAATATTCCAATTTTATTGGAATATCAACCTTTATGCTGCAATATTTGACTACAGTCAAACGCATTCTATATACTCCTTTATTATTATAATAGTACGTATTAAAATTAAGATCAACAATAATACATGTATATATATATATATATATTAATAATGTGAAAAATATAGAGACAAAAATGGAAGATTATAGAATTTTTTTTTCTCTTAAAAAATATATTTTTTAAGAGAAATCATTTGTGCAGCATAAAAGGTTAAAGTACTTACACAAAATTTTTTTCATTAAGTATATCAATGTACGTTATACGCACTAACAATATTTTGTAACGCTAACAAATCGTTCTTTCAAAAAGGTTACACCCAAAAGCCTCCGAATTTCGACAATAAGAATATAATTCTAACATCGTCTTATCCATTCGATGCTATCGAATCGCAATAAGCTGTGTTTCTGCCGAAAGCCATCGATTCCACCGTACCAGTTCATTCCACATTATATTATGAGGAAATTCGTGGAAATTCGTCTACGACGAAACAGTAGGCTCGATATATAACGACAGCATAAGTACTATAAGCGCAACATTTTCTTCGTGTCTCGTCTACGCGTGATGTATAATAATCTGCCTTGTTTCGTGTTATTATTATTAGATTCAATGTAAATGAGGGACGTGATTTCGTTTACAGCTAATGCCTTTCGATAAATTTATACTTCTAACGATGCAATGCACACGAATCTCATTATTGAAAATTCACATCAAACTTCGAATCGTGTCATCTGTGCAAAACTGCAACGATCATATCACTTCACTCATTTGCATTATAATCTTGATAAATATTTATCTCTAAAACAGAGACAGATATCGACAGACGTATTATATTTTATTTCCTTTTTTCTTCGTTTTTCATTTATTTCGTGATCGTTTTAGCGGCCGTCGATCTTTGGCAGAATCACGCTTTAGTTACACTTTCATATCTTTTCTTACTTTTCGTTTTTTTTTTTTTTTTTTTCTTTTAATACATCATGTATATATACGATCACTCGATGTGGATAATATCTCTTTGCGTTTCTTACCTAGTTCAGGTCCTGCCCTTTTTAAAATCGATCGCGTTTATTAAGATACTGCGTTTCAGTACGAAATAATAAATCCTACGTTGAACGAGTTTCCTGAAGTCGTTTGGAAGCAGTCTTTCAGCTTTTTTTTTTTTTTTTTGTATGCATTGACGCAAAAGTCGTCGTACATATTTCTTTTTTTTCTTTATTCATTTTATTCTTTTTCTTTCGATCTTTCCAACCATTTTCATTTTTATTTCGTTACTTTTTTTTACCATTTTTTTTTATTTTTCGTTTTCTAAATCGCGCGTTTAATACATCTTCGCTTTCATCTTTTCTTTCTCTCTTTCTCTCTCTCTCTCTCTCTCGCTTTCTCTCTATCTCTCTCTCTCTTTCTCTCTATTTTTCTTCATTTTTTCGTTTTACGCAATTAAATGTACAAATAATATCTATACACATTTAAAACTGGTAGAAATTAGAAAGTGTATTTTCATTTGACTAGCTTTTGACCGTCTCTCCTGAAAAATTATGAAACATGTTCTGTTTTCTCTGTACGTATGTACGAAACATTTCTGGGATTCTAATTGCATACGTAATGCGTATTTATGTATGCATATATGTATGATAGTATATGTGTGCGCGCGCGTGTACGTATGTATATGTATATTTATGAATACGATGAGCGTGTACGTCAAATTGTCTATCTGAAATCTGTTCTTTTTTTTTTTTTTTTTTTTTTTTTTTTTTTTTTTTTTTTTTTTTTCTTTTTCTTTTCTTTTCTTTTTTTCGTAATTATAGAAAGGGGAAAAGAATTCGGGGAACAAATGATCACTGCAAAATATCATATCGATTATTGATCGTTTCTTTAATCTTTTCCATGTAGACGATTCTTTTCGTTCAGACTAATTAATTGAGAAATCACCGCGCGCCATTACGTAGATTCATGATCCTAATAAGAGTATAATCGTTAGAATAAATTGTTACAACCTAGATATACAGCTAGCAAATTACTCTTTCGTTAACATGATATATACTCTCACACGCACGCACATGCAAGCGTTTCTTATTCTCCCACTCTTTCATCCAATTTTCTTTCACTCGATCTTTTTTCTTCATTCTCTCTCTTTTTTTTTTTTTTCTCTCGCGCTTCGTTCTCTAATTCTTAATATTTTGACAGGTTTTTCCTTCCGCAGTCTTCCAATTGTTTTTATTCACGCGGCCGTGTAGCTGTCATTCGAGAATTAAACGAATGCAAAAACGTCCGAAATTCACCACACGGCTCACGGCGCGTGAATTGTTCAGTCTTTCGTTTATATATATTTTTTTTTTTTTTTTTTTCTTTTTTGCTTGTTTGTTTGCTTGTTTCGCGTATTGTTTATCGATACATTATATCAGTTTATATCACTAATACTATTATATTTAGTTATTAAATTTAATCTTCTCCATATTTTTCATGACCTTCGATTTCATCTTTTTCCTAATCAATCTTCTCTCTCATCTTTTTTTTTCTCTTTCTCTCTCTCTCTCTCTCTCTCTTTCTCTTCCTTGCACGAAAAATATTATGCTACGTTTTATCCGCGACGTTTAAAGTGCTAATAAGTGCATATTTATAGAATAGTATGATGTATGCTTATAATTTAAAGCCACAGATTTCGATGTCACATCATAAAAGTATGATGCAAATTCATTTCTTCAGTTCTCTCATTTCTCGACGCATTTTGCTATATGTGTATATTTAATTATTTAGTCTTATACCCTTTTTTTTAGCATTCGTTAACAAGGGACGCATATCCTTTTTTTTAAGGCCTTTAAAACTCCATTTATTATTAATAATCTTCTTGCCAACTTTTATATCCTTCTTCCATTCTTTTTTTTTTTTCCTTTCCTTTTAAGGTTTTTATCATTATCATTTCTTTCTGCTTTTAAGTCTTAACAGCAACTTTAAAAGAAGGAATAATACATGGTAACTCTTTCTCTCTCTCTCTCTCTCTCTCTCTCTCTGGTTCTCTCCCTCGTATATGAGTGTAAAGACTCACGAGATCTGTGCGCAAACTACAAAGCATACACACCGCTATGTCGTTTTTTGTTCTTTTGTTCCATTTTCCAGCATGGCGAAGGCGAATTTAAATGTGTATAGTGATAATGCTTCGTCTTTTCCTTTTGTTTTGTTCTCAATATATGTAACGAAGTAATATTATGTGTAAAATCTTCTCATTTTTAAATATGGATTTTTCTTTTCTCTAAGGAGAATTATACAGTAATAATACAGCAATAGTAAAGAGAGTATAATAGTATTATTAGCAATACTCATAATAGTAAGAGTAGTTGGTGAGGGCTACTTGTAATAGAATAGTTGTAATAGTAATAGCTGATAGATGATAATAATAGAGACAGCCGTAACAGTAAGAGAGTAAAAATAGCAAAAGCATGAAAGCATATTGATAATGATGTTAGTGGTCACCCAGAGAAATAGTGGTAACAGAAGCGATAATAAGAGTTTACATAGTAATAATTATAGTAATAACTATAATAATGATGTTAATAATAATAATAATATGACAAATAGTAAAGACAATGATGAACATCATAATAATAATAATGTGGTGAATAGCTATCGGCCAGAATAATAATTAACGATAGCAATAGGGAATAAAGTTTTGAATGATAGCAATAGCGGCGGTGGTGATAAGAGATAGAATGGAGAGATAATTATCATGGTAATGTTAAAAAGAAATAAAATCAGTCAGTTCGTTAAAATGAATAACATTACATTAGTACATAATGTGTCCTGGCGCTTAAAATCAGAGAAATTCCATTTCCGGAAATGGATAACACACGAAAATAATAATATTGCAAACATCGCACAATTAATGTGGTGTACCTTTTTCGTCCCCTTTTTTTTCTTTTTAATATATGTTATACGTTTTTTTTTTTTTTTTTATCCGTTTCCCATAAAATTCTATCATATGTGTATACATATATATATTTTTTTATATAATACATTTATATAGATGCAGCAATTAGTCAAGGAAAGAATCTATCTTCCTAATAGCATTTGGCTTGCCAAATTCTGTCAGTTTCAATTAAATAGTATAATAATTGCATCGGATATAATAAAAAATATTTTTTTTTAGTTTTTAGTTTTTTTTTTAGTTTTTTTTTTTTTTTTTTTTTTTTTTTTTTTTTTTTTTTTTTTTTTTTTTTTTTTTTTTTTTTTTTTTTTTTTTTAGTTTTTCTTCATGCGTCATTCTGACGTCACAAAACTGAGTTCTTGGTGTAATGTCTCAAATATTAGACATTTCATTTGGTAGGGCTATTAAAGCGTGAAAATGTGTGCACGTTTGTACGTGCAACTTGTCAGCATTATCACTGCTGGTGGAGTCTCTTCATATTCGCAACATGTACGGAAGTCAGTCTAGCCTTCGGCTTTGAAAGAACGGAGCTCGGACATGTATATAATTTTTTTTAACAGGACTTACTGTGTAGATCCAGTCAACGAAAAAAACGAAGAAATTATTAGGCCTCGCCGAAACCACCGATGGCTTGTTCTGTCATTCTTAAACAAAGAGATTCAAGACGAGAGTTAATTTCTGGTTCCGTTGTTTCAGACGCATTGTTGCTACTTGGACTAAGAAAATGATCCCTCGGTGCACTATATGTGCGCTGTAATGTTCTTTGTAATTGCTAAAATAAAAAAAAAAAAATTACTTTTAACATTTAAATTCTCATTTAAATATGACTCAATTTTATAAAACTTGCAGATTACACACCTGTAAACTAGATTCTTGTAAACTAGGTCGTTTTTTGGTCGCATGAACTGGACGTAAAGTATTCTGATTTACACTTTGGTTCTGATTATTTTGTAAATATGGGGTAGATATACTGTTTCTGTGAGTGCTAACCACAAAAGAATTGTTTTGCGGGTGTGTATTATGAATGTGTCCTAAGTTTAAACTTGGTTTTCTATTGTGTTGCTGAGGGTTACAATACCTTCTATTATTATATCCGTAATTATGTTGCCATCTGAAATTATAATCATGCAAATTTTAATTATATGTCTATTTATTTATTCTATATTTTAATTATAATTTTTGTAACAGAAAATAGAAAATTGTTCTTATTCTTACTTTGGAGTTGGTCGTGGATTTCCAAGTCTACTGCGCCACTGTTGTATCTTTTCCTTTTGATTTGGAGTAAAGCAATCATGTTGCAATACTTTTTCTAATATGTTAATACAAGCGCATAAAATACCGTCATCTACGCTATCCAGTGCCAATCGACTACACACTAGAAAAAAAAAATTTATTAAAATATTATTATTATTATTATCCATAATGTATGTATTATTAAACATTATAAAAATAAATATACTTACGTTTACCAAGAACTTTGGTAAATTGACCAGGTATATCTTGAGGATCATTTTCCTGACTTGGTTTCATAGGTGTAGCTAAAATGGTTTTTAATTCATCAATTGTATTGACCAAAACTGTTGGTCCTTGTAAAAACGAAGCCGATTGTGTATTATCACGCGTTGGTTGTAATAAGTCTTTTTCTAAATTTAAAAGTGTTGTATATCGTTGCTGTAATTTTGCAATAGAAAGGGCTAATTTATGTCTAGCTCCTTTTGTCACACCCTGTTCTGCTAATTGTTCTTCAGTTAATTGCAGCATTTCTTCATAACTAAGAGTGACAAATAAATAACTATATTTATGAAGACGCAAAGTTTTAAGCCACGATGGAACATCTAAAAGATAAATAGTATATGTTACGAACTTTTTTTTTCTTTTCATGTTATGAGTAAATTATTATAAAAATTAATGATAAAATCTGGATTTATATTCATTTACCTCTCATACCACTAGCTAGCGATCGATTAGATGTTTCATCTAAACGTCCTTCGCTGCCGCTACTTGCGCAAGAACTTTGAGGACTCAATGGGCCTAATCCAATAAGATTGCCTATTTAAAAATCAACAATTATTCAAATAAAATAAAAATATAATTAATATTTCTTCATTTATATATAATAACTTTAAACTAACTTGCATGATCTCCAGATACGCTAAAACTACGTGGCTTGTGTTTAGTTGTGCAATTTACATTGTTCGTGCGATCAACAACTTCTAAATGATGAGGAGGAGCGACGGGTGGTGTTAAACTGTTCGATCGGCGCTGACGAGTTACAGGTGGCGGAAATTGTAAATTGAAGGCAGTACCGGGTTGTGTGCCAAACAAATTTGTTTGTTCATTTTGCTGTTTAGAATTTCGCTGCCAAGCATTATCCCATCTAAAATAAAAATAAATAAAATTTGTATAAACGAATATAAATATCATACAAATATTTATAAATACTTACCTAATAGTAGTATTAGTATATTCTTCAAGACCATGTATTGGTGGTGTACCACTAATACGTTCTTCAAGATGCCGAAGCCACTGTGTTAAAGAACGTCTATCTTGACTAGTTATAGCTGGATGAATCAAACAATAACTTAAAAGTTGTTGAGTTTGTTCAGTATATTGTCCTGTAGTTACACAGTGGCTTACTAATTCTGGTATTGCTACCAAGTAGCATTGTTTGCACTCTATATTCCCAGGCCTTAATAATGGCAAATGTGTTAGAAGTTGATTTATAGCAACTTCAGTTGATTCTGAGAGTAATGAATTAATAAATCCTGCAACAAAATTTTCAATAAATCACTTGTATTTATATAATTATAAACATATTTATAGTCATAATTATAAATACTACCTGGATTATTGGCATTTAATTCCTGTGTATCTAATTCAGAAACAGAGTGCAAGGAATGCTGCACAGCTTGTGCAAGAAACCTTGCTTGAACTGCAGGAATGCGACGAAGTAGTGCATATAAAACCACAGTTTGTTCACATTCATTCCATTGTGAGAAAACTCGAGTGAGTTCACCAACTTGTTCGCAGAATAAAGCACCAGGTGACCACTTCATTTTTATAGTGCTTTAATATTAAGGAGCAGATAATAGAAGCTCCAATTTCTTTTTAATTATATAGATTATGATTTAATTATATTCCAACAATATTCAAGTAAAATTAGGGATATGCCAGCAGTCTGTAGAAAATAAAATTTAACAATATTTATATTTCACATGTTTATTTACTAATTAATATATGAACATTCCTTATATACAAATTTAATATATATTAAAAACGATTATTCAATAATTTAGATAAAACAAAATTTAAAAACAAAATATAATATTTAAAAAAAATCTACAAAGAACAATATATTTTAATTAATTAATTAAAATCTATTAATAAAATATTATATTAATATTAATATTATAAATTTTTTTTATAATATTAAATTCAATTTGAATTTTATTGAATATATTATGAATAAATTAATAATTTATTATTAATATATTATTTATGCACAATAATTAATACATATTTATATATGTAATATATTTTAATTTATTTATTTCGAAAATAATATAATTAAGTAAAATATATATTTTAAAAAATATATATATTTTTTATTAAATTAAATAAGAATTATATTCAATTAAATTTTTTTAATTTGATATTTAATAAGCAAGAAAGAAAAAGTTATGATTAAAAATTTAATTATTCATTTGATACAATATTTTTTTAATCATTTATAATTCCATCATTTAAACTTGATATTATGATATTAATATTTAACATATCAACTTTCTAGAACAGTGAAAGTATGCAGTAAGTAAAACTTAACATCTAACATTAATTATTTTTACAAAATTATTGTACTAGATTTGTTTGTTTTTATTTAGATATAAAACTAGCTATATTATGTATATAAAAACAATTATAATAACTTATTATAGTTAAAGATACATTTCAAATATATAAGTACTGTATTTTAATTTCTCTCAAAAAAATATATTTATTCCGTTATATCAAATGATTAAATTTTCTTGATTTTCATACACATTTAACGAACTTTAGTGACCAACATAACCTCAAAATATCTGTACACATTGCATCGACATGTAGATACATCGATAAGAATTCCACTGAGGTCAAGTTTGTTTACCCCGCGATGCGTGTGTATTTATAGCTTTCCTGTTACGATCCATTCGGCGGTGCAATGGCACCGTGTATGAGACTTTATATGTCTCTAAACGATTGATAAGATACGATTCTTTTTACTTAGTCAGAAATAATACGATGATGTATAAAAATCTTACTAAGCATTAAAAAATTTTCATGAAATAAAATTAAACGTTTCCTAATAAAATTTCATTTTGTATTTCCATAGAATTTTTTGAGTCGCTTTCATCAGTACCGCTGCGTATCTTTGTATGCATGGGATACAGTAGAGGGGACAGGACGAAGAACAAAAAAAGAAAAACAAGAGAATAAAAAAAATTCGTTTATATGCAAATATTAATTCCTTTTCATAATAAAAATATAAAAATAATCAAATGTTGGAATGCTTGCAAAATGAATAAAAGAAATATTCTATAAGCGTAACGAGAATATATTGCTACTGTGCGACTAGCACTCGGCCATTGAGCCGAACAGCAAACAACAAATTATACGTTCAAATCGGTCAACGCGCTATGACTATATAATATAACTACGTATTAATGTAATTACCGTATGCAAGGCTGGAGATGGCTGCTCCACAAGATCGTTGTGTCCCTTGCAAAATAACAACAATACACAATTATAGCATTTTATACAACGTCGAGTTAAAGGAAACATGTATCCACCATGCGGTATGGTGGGCTTACGTGACCACACTGGTTCGTCGTCGCAACTCGTTACAGAACTTCGTCTCTACTATTGGTCTTTATCCGAATAGTAACAACCAATCACGTAACAGTTTAGGGCGCGGTTCATTTGTGTCTCAAATATGTCGATCATTTTATTTGCCTTTTTTATATGTTTTTAAAATTTACTTAAATTTGCTTTTATTAATAATATATACTTACCTATTTAATATCTATTATAATATATATTGTTAAATTATAAATATATTATTTATATATTTGTAAATATAATTCATTTGAATTAATTTATTTTATTAATTAAATTATTTTTCGAGAAGTATTTTTTTCGAACAAAAATTATGATATAATAGTTATTAAAATATTATAATTATCTAATAATTAAACTTATTAATAAGTGCATTTTATGATTTATAATAAAAAAAATATGTTATAATTAATATTATAATTAATAATAATAAAAATATAATTATTATTTATAATAAATGATTTATTTTTTATTTTATTGAGATTTATTAATTTTATTGATATATTTATGTATTACAATGTTTTTTATTTATTTAATATTTATTTTTTTTATACAATAAATTCTAATATAAAAGAACAATATCATAATATATATGTATTAAAAGTATTAACACAATAATCGACTGAATCTTTATTTTAAATCAGACTTAACATGGTATACATGTTTAAATGAAAAATAACTTTAAAAAAATAATAGCTGATCATTAGAAATATGTAATACCATAAAATAAAGTATGTTTTATGTTTACAAAAATATTGAATATTAAATATAAATTATCATACACTTTACAACAATTTTCAATTACTCCAAATATATGAGGAACACTAAGAAAAAGAACAACTGATTTTACATTGACTATAAAGTATTCTTATCCTATGACGTGCTACTTCTTGTAATGTATTAAATATTATCGCCCATTCCATCGCTTTCTGTGACTAAAGCACGTTCCAGGATGACACGGCCTTCCTTGTATCGTTGATTATCGTCTGTTGCAAATTCATACACCCACCCAAGTTTAGCATCACAGTTTTTGCAGCTGACATCTCGGACCATGTGACGACCCGTCAACATCACTCTATCCTGTACCTCGCTGTGTATCATTGTAGACAAATTAAATTATGAATAGATAATAATTACATAAGATTATTCCATTAGTACGATTTCTCTGAGATTTTGTACATTTATGAATGGTATCCTGTGTGCTAAATAATGTTAAAAAGCTAAATATGCATAAGTAGAAAAATTATGTACCTAAGGTAATATATAATCAACATAAAATAAAATTTATTATATATAACATTTAAATAATTAATGATATGATCAAATTATTTTTGTTTGAAATTAATAAATTTCTTTAAAATGACATATTTTTTATATTTTCTAAAACTTTTAACTTGCAATGTTTTTTTGATATCTCTTAAAACTTTTAATGATATACAAATAATACTACTGTTATGAAATGTATCAAAACAAAAATGACGCCATGTTGTACCTTTATAATTAATTTTACAAACTATTATATATATTATATTATATTTTTCTTTCTTTTATATCTACTTATACACATCTTTCTTTAATTAATAGTCAACAATTTGTTTCAAATTAATTATCTTTCTTTCCATTTTTTTAGATGTATGAAATTATAATATTTCACCTTAATAATCTTTATTATTTAAGTACGAGAATTTTTAAAATATAAAAGTATAAACATAAATTTATTATATATGTGTATATATGTTACTTTGATTAATACTATCTTATTTAATAGAACAAAGGAAAAACGCGAATACCTGTAATTTAAGTTGACGACTTTGTTAAAGAGAAAAGCACGGCCTGTAGCGCCCGTAAAACGCGTGCTTATCAGCTGACCTCTGTTTGTAAGATTAGTGTCACAGGAAGCGCAAGAGAATAAACGAGTACCTCCGATATGTTCCAAGAAAATTACGCCCATCCTGAAATATCGTAAATCGCTTTCCAAGTGTCTATTGTAGAATAAGAACGATTGACAATTCAAGCAATCAGCTTTCGCTTTACACAAACGAGCAAGTCATGTAACTTGACGTAGCTGTCACTACAGTGCGATACATACACTATGCAATAATAGCATCCAACGTTTGAATTTGTCAAGCAGTTTTAATCATGATTCATAGATTTCAAATTTATAGATGGTACGACTTCTATAAAAATTTTAAACACGTAGATTGAGATTAAAAATATAAAAATTGTAGATGAATTAATTTTAAAAGTTTATTTAAATTTTATAAATATTATAAATACTAATAGTCAAAACTTTAAAAATTATCAAATAAAGTATAAATAATCGAAAATAAAACATTTTTTTAAATATTAGTTATATGATTTTATGTAATTACGATAAAGTAGTATTTCTAATTCAAATTAAAATAATTACATATCTATTTAACTTTTTTATAAATAATTATGATATAAATAATTATGATTTTGATATAATATTGATAATCTATATATAATTTTATGTAAATTTATACATATTAATAATCACACATTAAAATTGATTATTTTTAAAACTTATAAACTTAAAAATTTATAAATATTGTGAACAATGTAACATGAATTAAATAAAATTTAATTAAGATGGATCTGTACACTTATAATCTTAGCATTAAAAGTCACTAAACTGTGAAATGAAATTTATATTTAAATATTTATATATAGAATAAAAGCAAACGGAATAAACGGAATAAAACAGAATAAACAGAATAAATATAATATATTTTTGGAAAGTGACAAAAATGTCATAAATATATGATTATTAATTAAATATTTGTTTGATTAATGCTAATAAAGATTATTATTTGTATTTATGTTAAAAATATACATACTTGGTGCAAAATATTTTTTATATATATATATATTTTAAAAGAATTAAAAAATTAAAAAAATTTTTCTAGAAATAATGATTTTGAATGATAATTTTTTTTTCTTATATAGAAGAATTTTAAA